AAGTATTTTTGCTTCTCTGCACTTTCTCCCCGTCAATTGTATTTTCACGAGTAATATAATATAAATATATTTTATTATAAAAATAATAAACTAAAAACAAATACGTTAGATGTGATATATACTATATTATTATATGCAGAGGAAAGATATTTAGGATACATGGAGTGGCAAATAAAGCGAGTAAAAACAGAAAGAATTTAATACAAAATTTTTCCAAATATTAACGGTTAAATATGCCAAATAGTATAAGTAAAAAATTCTTCTGTATCTAATATCGAAGACATTAAAGAAGAATTATACTGGGACACACTATAATTGATAATCTCTTTAGAATAAGTGCTATTTTTAAAAAATAATATACTTTATTATAAAAATAAACTTTTTTATAATAAAATATATTTACATTTTATTATCTGCGAAAATACAATTGTGGCGGGGAAGAAGTGCAGAGAAGCAAAAATACTTAAGAATTCGATTTTCCTGTGGGAATAACGGTTCTCGAAAAACTTATTAGTAATCTCCTGTGAGAAGCAGCAATAAAACGCAATACAATGATAGAAACAAAAACAAGGAACACGTTTATGCTATAAGTTGAAGTGTCCTGAACTTACACTAAAGACTGATATTTCTTTTTAATTAAAAAGTTTTACAAATAGGCCAGAACTTGGACAACCGAACCCACTTATTCCTTGAAACGATTTGAGAAGCAATAATAACCTGGTTTTTCAAATATAACTTTATATATTTTCTTAATATGTTTTAAACGTTTGTANTTAAAATGTTATTAAATTTTACGTGATGAAAGTAGATAATTTAAATATATTTGAAAAATTAAACATGAAGTGTAATTATTGGGCGTCAATTTTAAAAAATTATGAACTTATAAATTCCCACTGTCTTTCTTAAATCTCGGGAACGGAGGTAGATAGATGAAAGACGAAACTAGATGTGGAAACCTTCAGTGCAGGACACCCTGACTATATGATCATCCAATAGAAATCAGAAGTGATGTTTTTTCAATTCAAAAATATTTTCCCTTAAATTACATGACTGGCACGACTCTATTCTTAAAGTGAACGTATGATGTATATGTGAAAGTCACTACTGATTTGCGGTTGAGCGCATATATTTTACATTTAAAAAAATTAAAAACATGATCAAAAATTGCGAATTGGTTTTGTGAAGATGTCACGATAAACAAATGCTCGTTTTATTACGAGATGTGTTAATGAATTTTAACCAGAGTATTAATAATAAACTTTGACAAATAATATGTTTATATGTTCTGTTACATATTTTATCCTAACAACAATTTCATATTTAAATAAATTCAATTAAAATAATTTTTGTGTCGAAATTCTATTAATTATTGATTTTTTTACATTTATATTAAATGAATAACGCTAAGCACGAAAAGACAGCTTAAAAATATTTTTTCAGTCAATTCTACTTAAAAGAAATAAGTGTAAATAAACTTACTATTACCACACAAACAATAAGTAAGGGTAATATTGCAGTTTCAATTCATATTCTCTTAAAATTTGATTTGTTGCTCCAGGAAAATGTTTTCAAAAGTAAAGATAATAGATAAATAATTAAGTTCATCTCTGGCTCAATCTGGATTATCGTGCTTAAGACTCATTAATATCGACTGAGCTAGAATTTCGTGATTACAAGAAATTAAAATTGACAAGCAGTTTCTTCCTTGTTTATGTGATTAGAATGCCAAGCTAATATTGTCTGTTTCAAAAAAAATTTTGCATCAATTAAAAATAAAGCTGATATAGCCTTAATAAATTAAGCATCATTGGACAAATGTAACTTTGGTTGATTTTCCTTACTTAACAGTATTCATTCAATAATTGTGTATTATTTTTTTCTTTTAATAATTATGCAAAAGCGATCTTCTATATATATAAATTAGGGTAAACAATGTGTGAACAACGAAAAAGTGACTGAAACAAAGAATTTTTCTTTGTAAAAAAGTTGTATTTATATTTATTACATTAATAAATTAGGGTGTTTGTTTGTTTATTTGTTTGCTATCCACACCTAGGCCATTCGAACAATTGCTACGAATTTCGATAGTTACGTTTAAATAGTTCTAACTTGAATCATGTCGTACAGTATATTACAATACTGGGCTGTTACTGTGTAATTACATTCTTTATACGTTAATTCACTTATCTGAATTTTCGATTATCCGAATCACCTGTAAAACGAATCAATACGGATAATCGGAGTTTTACTTTATATATATTTTTTACAGTCTTACAAAAATTATGCATGTAGAATTAAAGGGAGAAGGTAATGCAACAAACAAGAGAGAGTGCTTTCTGAGAGAAATTTTATGGGACATTGGCCCCTATTCAGGTACTAATACTTGACAAATGAAAACCCAGATAACTCGTGCTGATCTCGTCGATGAAGCACGAACCACGACCAAATAAATTCTAATGTTTAGTGGTTTCATCCAATCAGCCACTGGCGAGCCCATTGGTTCAAAGGGCATTTCAAAGAAAGTACTTAAAAAATAAACTTTTTATTCCTAAACCAGTAAAAAGGTTGTAGATTTAAAAGCATAAGACAACAGAACATATGGGCAATCTGATAAAAGAAGTATAACTCGCCTAAACTTTCTATGCGATACTGTTCCTATTTAGGCATAAAAACACTTGGTAAACCACAGATGCCAACCCTTTGGTGCCTTGAGAAGCAAACGAATGTGAGATCCGGAATTTTTTTAATCTAAAAATTTAATTATTTTAATTCTGTTTATATAACGGATTGAAAGAAAAAAAAACGATCTTAGCTGGGAATGTGTAAACCTTCCTTTCATAACTGTCAACATTCTATGATTCTCATATAGCTTGCAGCTCAACTTGCACAAAAGTTTATAGTTAGCATCCAAATTGCGTCACTTGTTTTTGGTCTCGGGAACACCTATAACCTTATCTCATATAACAACTGATCACATGACCGATTTTCTCAGCAAAAAGCTATAAAAGATGCTTCCTAACCCCTCTCGGGGGAGTCTCTTAACGAAAGCCGGACCGACGACATCGAGTAGAATCTCCGAACCCGCCGAAATTCCGATCCTCTAACATCGATCTCCGTCAGCGTTCGACGTCGCCATTGCTTAAGCTTGTTTTCGTCGCGGAGCAGCGCACCAAACGGCGGCCGCGATTTCTGATAAGTTATTTTTCTGCGAAAAATTCGTTGATCTTTGGAGACATTATTAATATAAATAATTTTTATGGCCGTTGAATAAGAAATGTTTCTTTCACAAGAAATGTATAAAATTACAGTACTGTATTAGACTTACGGTACCTAATTTACATACTGTACAGACGATAGTAAACTCAACTTACTCGCCTAAACTCTCTGTAGTGTGTAAGTAGTTTGGCTGCTCGTCTACTATTGGTCCAGATTCGAGTAATCCTGTCGCGACACGAGTCGGCGACGAAGTTTTACGAGTCTCTTTTAGCGTCTTTATACGAATACTGTCGCAATTTTTTCTCCACGTTATAGGAATCTCCGTTATAGGAACCCGCGTTATAGGGGGGTCTACTGTACACGCCTTGCTCTGCTATAACAGCATGTAGACTTTGATGTATAGCAATGTTACTTTAGTTATAGTGTACTTTTATTTTTTTATTTTTTTATCTTTTATAATATTTAATTTTTATTCTAATTTTCATTTATTTTATTTATTTATTTATTTTATTTTACTTTGCATTTTCTCTGCCATTATATTATTGTATCCCTTCTATGATTAACAGCATGTATCTATATGTATTTTTCTGTATTTCTGCCTGGCTGTGCTCAGCGGTGCCAGACAATAAAGATTATTTTGACTGCCTGACTGCCTAACTTTATTACAAGTTATATTGTCTTATTTTGCCAGCACGTCGTCAGAACTTCAGTGTGTTTTGTACATTCGCGATTTTACTTCAAGTATTATTTTCTTTAACTATTGCATTGTATATTATTAAATGTAATCAATTTGTTTGTACAGTAATACCCCGAACTTCGCGATAGGTGGGACCGAGCAATAACCGCGTAAGTCGAATTCGCGTAAGTCGGGGTATAATTTCCCAATTTGTGTAAAATCCAAGTCGGATGTATGTAAGCTAATAAATGTTCTCGTTAATCTTATTTCTTCTTTTGTTTCGTTCACGGTTACAAGAAATAACCACATGCAGTCTCTCGAATCTCCGTAGATATAACAAACACAGAAGTAAATACAAAATAAATTGTAGCTATGCGTCGATTCCGCGCAACATATCCGAACATGTAAGCCGAACAATAGTGTGCGGGGAGTGAGTAATCAAGGGTTGCGTGGCGCTCAAACAAAAGACGAATCGACGAGATTTGAAAATCGCGTAACTCCGGGTTCGCGTAAGTCGGGGTAGCGTAAGTCGACGTATTACTGTATTTCCGCGATCTCACCACATGTAATATTCTTTCACCATTGTATTGTATATTATATGTAACTAATTTTTACAACTTTGTATTCCAGACCTGATTAAGCCCAGCGGTACAAGGTCATATACAAATGTATAATCAACGTTTAAATAAAATCTGATTATTTGAATTTCTGCTTAACTTTATTAATATTTCAATTAAACTTATTACAGATTTTCTAAAAAATGTTTCATTATTTTGTTTAACAAATGTGTCCAAAAAGCAGTTTAATACAAGTAGTCAACAGTCTCCAATTTTAAGACTTTCCTTCAACGCTGTTATTATAATCGAGCACTTTAATTTACAGCACATTCAATGTTTTCTGTTCAAAACTTTAATAAAATTCATTTTATTTAATTTATAGGACATAAATTTCTAGAAATATTTACAAAATAAGTTATGGAATTAGTTTTGGAACGGTGATCTTAATGTATATGTATTTTTTGTGTGTGTGTGTGGGTGTACAAATTTTACAATTAGCAAGAAATAATTTAAGCCGTGTTTTTTTGTGTTTTTAAGCTAAAAGATAGGCAGAATATGCGAATTTGACAGAACAATTGCCAAATTTTACATTGTTGTTGACCATTATTAATTTGTAATCTGTTCAAAACTTATAAACTAAATTTTAAAATTTAAATTATTAATTCTTTAATTAAATGGAATCAGAAAATGTAAGTAATACGTTCAATTTGTTTTGTAATACATTACTTACTTCAGGCAACATCTTTTATTTGAAACTGTAAAAAATAAAAAGTTTAAAATTTTAATTTTATCGAAATATACATATATTTTACTTTTATGCTTTTATATAACTAGAAAATATTGACAAACGTAAATTTTTAATAATTAACACAACAAATATTTATTTTGAAAAAAGAGAAAAGGTGTGAATAAAGTATATCTAAAAATTTTGCGCCCCATAATGGCGCATTGATCGGTTGCCAAGTTTATCTAAATGATAGATAGCGCTTATCGTCTAAATGGGTGTACTGTACACGTAAAATAATAAGTAAAACTTGTTAAAATTTGGAAAATTTTCACAAATAAGAAGGATAAAAAACATAAACACAATAAAATAAATTAGCGTAAAGTTTATACAGTGTGTATATTTATAAGAAAAATAATTGAATATTAAAAATTATTTAAATCTTATATTGATTGCATTGATTTTTATTTATCTTAGGATATTTTCTTTAAAATCACAAAAATATGGTTACACATATTTTTCTAATTTTCTTTAAAATGTTCATAGTAAAAAGAACATGTTGTATATTAAGTAAATTCACTGTAAAAACTAGTTAAGTTATGCGAATAATTAATTATTTTTTTAACTTAATTTATTTTTTCATATTTATTTGTTTACAATCCTTTGAACAGAATAGTCAGAAATCACCTACAGAATCGCGTGATCAAATATCAGCTGCAACATCAACTAAAAAAGAGGATGATAAGTCACAAAATGGTCAACATAAACAATCATCTGAAAAAGTACTTGGATGTGATTTCTGCACTTCCTGGAAAAAGAATTTGTCTACGCATAAACATCATCATCCCGATGAAAACAAATCGAAGGTAATCGCATTTATTTATCACGCTACTTTACTATATAAATTGAATATTACAACGAAATATTCGTATTTAATGTAACAAATACATCTTTGCGTTATTTATACGCTATATCAAATAGAACAAAAATTGTATGTAATATGATTTTTAGTGTATTATTATAATTCTTATTTCCAATTATAGACAGCTTGCAAACCTTTATGTTATAATTAGTAAAAATATCGATACCGAAAACATAAATCTATATTATGTGAGATTGGAATTCGTATGACTCCGCTCACCTTGCACAGGATGGCTATAATTGTTTATATTTAAAGAAGGTCGTGATATCTCTGTCTAATTCACTAGCCTAACACAGTTAGAATAATTATTTTACTTCGCGATAAAAGGAGTAATTTACACATGATCCCAGTTGTTAGTCAGAGTGGTTAGAATGGAATTTCAAATTCGAAGAAAGGAAGTAGGTTCAATTACTAAATTATATATGACTATATTTATATAAGAGGAATTGCAAAAAGATTATATATCTATAAATTGCATCCACAAATAAACGATAAAATATCCTCATAAATCTCAGAAAAGAATCTAAATACAGTAGAGCGTCGTTTATCCGAAAGCCAGTTATCGAAAAGAATTCCAGTTGGCAAATTTAAATTTTCGCTAGTGCTGTGGCGCTGCAATCTTTGGCTATGTCTTGGCTACTCAAATATTTTACGTTTTTGATACTAAATTAACTTCTGAAGTATAACTTTTTATTGTTTTTATATTTTTCAATATATTTATTTTTTTTGTACAAAATAAAGAAATAATTTTTAACGATACAATAACCACGATTATTATTTTAAAAAGTTTACGTTAGGCTTAACATCGACGAAAGTTCAACGCAACGCGACACGCAACGAAAAAAAATTTCAGGATGGGATAGGTTAATGTATTTTTTCGTACATAATCGGTTATCCGAAAAATAAGTTATCCGAACAACGCCAGTCCCCAATTGATTCGGATTAACGACGCTCTACTGTATACGCATCTACATAGACGATCCTCAAATCAAACTATTCGTAATGAGAGATATTATATTATTAATTATACTTATCTAGAGAGGTAGTGAGAGAACCTATGTCTTTAAACCAATATCTTTTTCCACTCTTCTTTAATATGACACATCGAAGTATCTTAGGCAGGAACGTACTCAGAAGTGTTAACGATGAGTGTTAACGATTTGTCTAATAGCATGTTCAACTCTAAATAAAAGCTCTAGATTGCTACTGACCTAAGTATCAGGACAAAAAGCAAGTAAAAAAGATGACTTGCACGTTTTATAAGAAATCAGTAATCCAATCGGATTACTGATTTCTTATAAAACGAATTGTCCACAATTCGTTCATTTTCGGTTGAACTTTCGTTTTTGCAGGAACTACTTCTCTTCCTGTGAATCATAGACAGCGGGCAGATGACAAGAAAAATAAGCTTTATATATTTTTCTGTTTAAAAATATTAACTAAGATATCACTTTTAAGTATAAAATGTTCTCTATCAAACCCTCGGTTTTCAAATTTTCTAATTTGCTTAATAATGTTCATATTAAACAGAATATGTTGAAATATTAAATAAATTCAGTGCGAAAATTATATAAGTGAAGGAATAATTACTTTTTAACTTAATTTTTTTTCGTATTAAAATATTTACAATTCTCTGAACAGAATAGTCACAAATCACATTCACAGTCGCTTGATGAAAGATCATCTGCAGTATCAAGTGGAACACGTGACAAGTCACAAAATTGTGAACATAAACAAGCATCTCAAATAGCATTTCGATGTGAAGTTTGCAACTACAGCGCTTCCTTGAAGGGGAACTTGTCTATGCATAAACAATGTCATGCCGACGAAAAAAAATCGAAGGTAAACAGACTTATTTATCAAGGTACATTATAAATTAAATATGACAACAGAATATACGTATTTAAAGTAACAAACACGTCATAGCGTTATTTACTAGGTATGTTGCATCAACTTTAATTATATAATTATATCTTTAATTATATAAAAATGACCTATATTGAAATGTTACTTAACCCTGATATTTCAAATCATTGTTAATTTAAAAATATGATATATTATTTTATCCATATAATCACTTATTAGAAGTATTTAAAATTAAGCTATATAACTGTAGCAAAAATAAATTCTGTTGCTACTGAGACTTACATACAACTGTTGTTAAAATGTTTTAAAAAGAGATTTGTAAGGACAATACACAATTAAAATTACATGTTACGAATAGAGTTTATACACAGACCGTAATAAAACACAGCTCAGTCGTAAAATATTAAAAATAATGAATGTCGCTGATTAAATAAAATACCAATCAATAATGTAGTTGTAAATGCCAAGTTGATAACATAAATAACATCAGAAATCAGACTTTAGAGTAAGTAAAATAAATGCCTATTTCACGTTGCCTGAAAATTTGATGAAGAATGATATAACTTGTGAATAGAAAAATTTAATTAATCATTAATTAAGTTGTAATTGTAGAAGTAATTTAAATGTCATTCTATATTATATATTTAGCTAACAAAATATAATTTCTTACAGGAATCAGCAGGAAAATCTGATAAACAAACCTAAAGGGCGGCGTGTATTATCTTGATGATGAGAAGAAAAACAGATGAAAATAAAATATTCTAATTAATTTTTTAAAATTGAAATTACATTTTGAATATATTTAGCACAAAATTTTTCAAATGAACTTTATTTAGTTATTTATTATTTTTTTGAAAATTTAATGAAAGAATTTTTCAAAATTCAATACTTTATTCGTATTGAAGTCTTAATTTCTCTGAAAATATTGATATTAATTCATGATTAATAAAATTTTTATTCAAAAGTGCAGTTTTTATGGATCATTAAAGATCTTTTGCTTTTAAAGAATTTTCTCAATATAACTTATAATTGGGATATCCTCTATCTGTTTAAAAATTTTTATTTACTTTTAAAGTAGTCCCCTTTCAATATTAAATTAACTTTATTTAAATACTAATATGGTCAATTCATATGTTTTTCGAAATCGTTAACTTTATTACATTTTACAGATGGGTACGTGCTCTTAACTTTTAATGGTATCATTATAAAATTTTATGGATTTTTTTTTTTTTTTGTAATACAAGTATGTTTTAAACTCAGAATTATCGTATAAATTGGAATTCCATTAAACAAATAAGTATAAATATTCAAGTCGTAATAATTAATGTCAATTATGATTTTATATTTAATTGGAGTTTAATGAATTTAGCTTAAAATTCGAATATAAACTTCGAATTTTGTGAACAAAGTCAAGTAAAAATTTCTATTTATGAATATTTATATAGTTTAATTTCATTTTGCTGTTTATTTATTTCTTAATTATATATATTGAAGTTATTTTAATACTACTAACAATTTAAAAGTTTTGACTTAACCTGGGATGATATCTAACCCCCATTCCAGGTATAACTAGGTTAATTATCCTCCGTTATTTATTTTTACAAAAAGTTTAAAATTTCGCCTTCGTCGCGGCACGTTATTTTATAACTTCTATGTTATTGCGAAATTTCGTTCAACATATTTCAACGATTCGTCAATTTGAGTCCATGTCGAGGAAACTTGCAGGCTTTTCTCGTTGCAGTTCTGTAAAATACAATTATATGTGTTATATATTTTAAGTTGTTCTGGAACTATGGGGGTACCGCTAGGTTTACATAACAATACGTAAAAAATTACAATCCTTATAATTGGGATTATAGCAAACGTTTGCACTTCCGTATTAATAGAGATTTGTGATGGGAAAATGTTTTTTGTTATTTTGTTGAAAATCTCACATACACAAAACAGAATTATAAACAGTGTTATCCATACTAATATTTATCATAAACCATCACATCTACCAGCGAACTCATAAGACCCATATACCTACAATATATATATATATATATATATGTCGTATTATTTTGCAGTCGTAGTCGTAAGGTCGAGTGTAGGTTGAACAAGACAAAGAAAATTGGAGACCATAAAATAACACGTCCGTTCACTTTCGGGTCCTCACTCGAACTCTCTTTATTTTATTGGTGCTGTTAACCTCATTCCAAAAGGGACGAGATTAACAAAGTAAAATACAGAAAATATATACAAAATTTACAAAAATTTTGAATATGTTATATATATACAGGGTGGACCAAAAAGAATATACGTATTTCAAACTGATATATTTATTAAACTATCGATAGTAGCGGTGTGCTGCGGGTATCGGAGGAACGAGTGCATTGTCTAGTTTGTTACCAGATGTCAGTTGTGCTTAGTTACAATGACGTATTCACAGTTGTTGTAAAATGGCTACGCCACAGCACAAAAGCTTTTGTATTCTTGAGCTTGTGAAGTGTAATTCCGTGATTACAGTGCAAAGACGTTTCCGGTTGAGGTACGAAATTTATCCTCCGAATGGATGGAACATTCGCAGATAGTACCGTCAGTTTGTTGACACAGGTTGTGTATGTAAAGGAAAGAGTCCTGGCCGACCTCGTGTATCTGAAGAAAATGTCGCACAGATTCAAGCTGCTTACCAACGTAGCCCTTCAAAATCAACACGTCGTGCCAGTCGGGAATTGCAGCTGCCTAAAACAACAGTTTGGCGTGTTTTGAGACGCAGGTTAGTTATGAAGCCCGGACCGAACTCCCGCCCTGACCCCGGTTCCCGGACACCCGGACGGAACTCCCGCCCGAACCGTTCGTGTCGCTGGTGGAGCACATATTGAACACCTGTAATCTAAACTAGAGAGTTTCATAAATATGTGTTCCATAGTTGTATGTCTTACAGTTTATTAAATATGTCAGTTTGAAATACGTATATTCTTTTTGGTCCACCCTGTATTTCTGTGATGACAATATCTTTGATAATCGATAAGTAGATGATTTCATCGTGAAAGATAATCATCATTTAAATGGTATAAAATTCTAAATTACTCGAATGATTGAGGATTTTTATTTTTCAACCTTAAAAGGGACGTCCTTTTCCATTCGAAATGCATAGCATTATAAATTTTTAAAGTAGAAACTGAAGACATCACATTCGTATAGTTGCTAATCTCTACGGCGTCCATTAGACGGAAGGTATAAGAATATTATATAATACATCCGTTCTATAATAACTGATTATTTGGAATTTAATAAATATTGAATATTGTTATGGATGCTGATGATAAGTTGGATATTACATTATGATATAGAAATATATAATTAACTAGAAAATTTTATACACTTCTAAAATTATTAATAAATATGCCTTATAATATACAGTATATATATTACGGTGTTCCTTATTTTCCGATTTTTAAATTTTTGAACGTCCACTAGCCTATTTTTTCTTTTCATTCAAAAACATGTCCAAAATTTCATTTTTTGACGATCGATGAATATTTACCCGTGCCGACTTGAGTGTAATGTGTCTGGATTTGTCACACTTCGCTTGACATGGACTTGACATTGCGCGTGGAGCATTGTGAGATTTTTCCGGTTTTTGTCTGTGTAAGATATATTTGTGCTCTTTTATTCTAATACTAGCTGCAAGGACCCGCTTCGCTGGGTTTTTATTTCTTCGTACATTTGTATGTCATATAGGTTTTTTTTTTTATATATAAAAGACTGTTTTTCTAAGTAATCTAGAATCTAGCTGCAAGGACCCGCTTCGCTGGGTTTTTAAAAAGTAACGATAGTGAAGATTAAGATAATTACCCGTTTTCACAGAATGCAAGAATTAGGTCCCCCGTTTCTGATTAGAGATCTGGTCCCGATTCTATTTCTGAACGTCTCCTCTTCACGTCAAGTCAAACGAACTATTTTCAACATTTCTGGAACGTTCACAATCGTTCTATAATCGAAGCAATATTCGAATTTTATGTTCGCATTTAATTCGAACAAATTCGAACAAAACATTCTAAATAGAAAGCCACTTTCAACCACTTTCAGCCCCATATCTCCCGCACCCTTATAGCTATCGAGACGCTACCCCCTGGTGCACGAATGGAGACTTGGGGCTACTACCACATACAAACACCATTCACGTGCGATGCGTAGTTTTGGCGGAAAAGTGAAATATAGGGACATACATGTCCATTTATATATATATATATATATATAGATTATGTCGTACAAATTACGTAGTACTATGAATAGTGTGGTTTTGATAGAAAACGTGAAACACCAAATAACAAACAGAAATTTCCATCAAATAGACAAGTGCTGGCTGTTTTATTTTATATTATAAGAGAAATTAAATATATTGTATGCGATCTTTTGTGAAAAAGCGAGAATTCCGACAAGATTTCTTCAGAATTGTGTAAAAACTCCAAATTTGCATTTGTAATGAAGAAAATTACGAAATAATGCAAGAAAGTCTCAAGAGATATTTTTAAGCGCCATGAAGAGGACTTTCAAAACATTTGAAAAATTTATTTTATATCGCAAAAGAAAACGCTATACAAATGTTTAAATTAGGTGCGAATAGAATCTTTTTATTGCTACAGAAAGGAGCAGGACAAAGGCTGTCTTGTTGGTGTGGGCTGAAAACTTCCTGATAAAAAGAACAGTCAAGAAAAAAAGAAGCTTAAAAAGGAGAAAAGACAAAGTCAGAAATCAAAAGCTCTTCAGCTGTGCTTCCTCTTTCATTATCTGGAGATGAAGACAGAGCATTTTTCTGTTCGAAACAATACAACGATGGTGAGTCTTGAGAGGTGGATCTCTCGGAGGCGACATCAAACAGATACCTTAAGACAGTGACAAATATTCAATATTTGGAGGACCGACGAGGCTATAACCAAAACAGAATACTGAAAGACGATGCACTAATAATTAACTACTCACAAATTAGATGCTGTTTTAGGCAAATGTCAATTGAGTGTGAGACTGTTTGTGTCCTTCAGGCAACAGGAGAAGCACTTGGGCACAGGACTGAAGAACTTCTATTATGAGATTTTCCATTCATGGAATGAGGCAAAAGAAAAGAAAATAACTAATTAAAGCCATAAAAGCTAAATTTAATAATGATATCTCTGCAATTAAGCTGTTCACTGCAATGGTAAACTGTTAACTACATTGAATGTTAGGGAACCAAAAGAAGAAAGACTCCCTATAGTCGTGACATTTGGAGAGAGAAAGCAGCCATCGATGATATAGATTTAGAAAATGCTTCTGGTAGCATAAGCCGTCTGTAATGCAATAACAGGATAGATTTTGGAAAATAATGTAAAAATTCATTATAGTAATACAATTGTCTCAAACAACGGCCGCGTCAAGTCGTGCAAGCATCCTCATTATACAAAAAAAATGGATTGAGTTGTTGTTTTTCTCCTGTCGTCATCACATTTACGAATTACTTCTACGATGTGTATTTGAAAGCAAAATATGTGCGGTGACAAATAGTCTTGACATACCTCTTACATACAAATAAGAAAAAATTGGAGAAGTGTTAATACTACTAATTTTCAAAGTGGTGAAGATTATGCAGAAAAGTTTCTCAGTAAGTTGGAACTTCCAAAACTCTTGGGCATTTACGAAGCTAAACTTTAAAAAGAAATGGCAAGACGTGATTATCAAGAACTTATACAGCTATGTGTACTATTTTTGATAGGTAACACGGATAAAAAATTAAAAGTCTGTCCTCTTTGGGCTATGCATCAAGCTCGATGGATGTCAAGAGCAATTTATTTCCTAAAAATGTTTCTCCTACGGTCAAAACTTAAACTATTATTCAGAGAAGCTTCACATGATATTTCTCAGTTTGTTGTAACAGTTTACGTTAAACCATGACTTAATTGCAGTGCAGCTGTAAAAGTCTAATCAAGATTTATACTTCTTGC